GTTTTTGTGTAATTTTTTCTTGTGGTCAGTTTTTCAAAGACAAGTCTGTAGGTTCCTCCTTATTTACACAAAGCTGGTCATGAAATAGCAGCATATCCCAGCATGCACTGCAATGGTCGAGAAATCAGTTCATCTGAAATTCTGTAATGGATGGAGAGCATCTTTGCACTACTTTTTTTTTAACGGGAAGAATAGTCTCTGTGTTATGTGCATCAGAGTCCCAGTTCATTCGAGGATGTATCCCAAATGTAGGTGTTATGCAAAAGTAAAATCTCTTTTCTCTGTCTTTATTCTCCTTGTATCCCAGTGCTTGGAGTAGAAATAAATCCTATTTTCCTGCCACTGAAGGAACAACAATGGAATGAAATTCTGCTTGTAGAACTCATTTGCTCATCTGTGTTACTCTGAACTGACTGTTTAGTAAACTAACCAGCAAGCTTGGCCTACAGGTGCTGTTCCTAATTCTTATGTTCCCTGCTTTTCTCATGCTTGTAAGCATACTTACCTGATACGATGTCAAGTTTTATAGCTTGGGAAGGTCTTAAACTAGTTACACAGCTAGGAAAACAGAACTTCTTTAAGGTGCTTTAGATGAACACCAATGTCTTACTTAGCAAAATACCAGCTTCAGCAAACAACCTTTTCAAAAGAAAATGTCACACAAGATATGACTGCAAATTATGTGTTTTGCCTGGTAGCAGCAAGAGACTTCTTAAATATCAATGAACCTACTTTGATGCCATGAAAGCTGGTCCTTCAGCTAAAATAAATTTTTTTGTGTTTGACCCTACAAGTTCTGGGATTGGTCCTCACAGACAACTCCACAGGGCTTCTACAAATTTCACAAGGTTATCTGTAAACCTTATTCCCTCCTCCTCCCAGATGGTCCTGAGATGGAAAGAAGAGAACTTAAATGGCCCACTGGTCCTATTATCTTAAGTACTTGGGTCAAGTACCAATCCTGATATTTTTCTTCTTTGTATTTGCACTTACATGCTTGCTGAGCTGGAGTGCCTGCTTCTGTTGTACGTACACGTGGTTCTCTCAGCTTGTGTTTGGGCTGTTGAAACTTGGGATGAAAGCTTTGTGCCAGGGTCGTGTATGCCATACAATGTTGGCTAATGGGATTCCTTGAAATCCCTTCACATTTCAAATAGATTTATGAATAAGGGGGGCAGTTTGAACACATTGCAAACCCCTAAAGCCTTAGTGAATCCTGAATTTGGCCATCTCAACTATTTATAGAACACTCTATGCCTATTCTAAATATATTTTCCCCAAGGGGACCTCATCTCAACCCGCTGCTCCACAGGTTAAATTGGATCAGCAATGCTGCTATGATCTGTTAGCAAAAATTCCTTCTGCACCTCTGTGGCAAAGCTCCAGATGTTGCTGGTCCAGGCCTTGAAGGGGAAATTCTGTGCCAGGCAGAGCTCAAGGGTTTGGATTTAAACTCTGTAGCCAGCCAGGTAGAGAGATATTAATGATATATTGGATCATTTCCTGTAGCCATTGCCTGATTATTTTTTTATATTCCTCCTCTGCTGGTAGGTCTAGAGTTCTGGAGGGGGAAGAACAAGTGACTTATTGGCACCTTTCCCTTTCAGGAGTCTTCAGCCTTGCAAACTAGACGTAATGGTGAGCACACAAAACGTTTTCTTTCTAGAGGAAGTGTAAAGAGTGTTCTGTGGGCAGAAGGCATTTCCTATTGCAAGGATGCTTGAAATCGGTGTTCTCTTTCTCTTTCTCTGCTACAGGGAAGAGAAGTCTCTCTTCTGTGGGAGTACCTACGTGACAGTGCTTGGAGAGCTGTGCCTCTGACTCTACGAGATGGTTCTTCCTGAAATGTTTTCCAAGCAGAAGCCTCCTCTTTGCTAACTGGCATTTTGTAACCCCTCTGGCAATAGAGGAGGCTGTGCAGCTTTGCCCAGTACAAGCTTTGCTTTGTGTTAGTGAAGGCAGGAGTGCTGTAAAATGGTGTGTAGAAATAGCATTGCAGGAGACATCCTGCTCTCATCTGGCTTTGGAGGTTAATCGTACACGTTCACTGTTATTTTCCGGGCAGACGAGCATGGGGCATTTAGAAAGCAGGGCTTGAGTCCCATTTGCTGTTGACTGAATGGGGTCAGACTGTCAACTCTGTTGCTCCCACATAAGGACAGAGGATCGAGGATCTCTTCAGGCCAAGGAGAGCAACTCATCCCACAGTAGAGAATCTCTACCTTTTAGAAAAATCATATGATTTTCTTTTTCAGTTCAAGGCTCTGGCTGTACCACAGGATAGAAGTTTTGGTGCAAAGGGCACACTGCAGAACTTCACAGGACATTTTTCATCCTTCAAGTTTAAAAATATTTAGAAAAATACATCCTTTATTGAATTCTGTAGGTTTGAACAGTTTCTTCTGTAGGATAGTTACATTCTGTCTGCCTCTCTCAGGAAGATCTGCCATGCAGATCTGCAGATCACAGTCCTGAGTGGAAAATTTTGGGTCAGTGTAGAGGCAGGATGGGCCATCAGGACCCTACAGATCCTGAATAGCTGTGCTGCCCCACAGTAAGGGTCGGTACTGACCTGTATGCTCAGAAAAAAGCAACTGCTGCCTGTCCCTATGATGTGATTGACCCAGACTCTACTCCATGGGTCTTGGACTCAACTTACAACTGGGGTGTAAAGCACCGAGGCTGCTTGCACTGGTTCAAGGACAGGATTTGGAAGCAGTGTGTCAGTACTGTCTCCAGAAGTCACGTGAACTTAGGTACCCATTAGAAATCCCCTTCTTCTGGGTGCAACGAAGGAGTGACTGCCGCTTACTTGGCCTCAGGGATAGAGAAGCCTGTGCAAGGCTTTGCCACTCCGTAGATCACTGTAACGTAGCTCACTGTGTATCTAAGCCTCAGAAAATATCTCTGAGGTTGACAGAAGCTTTTCTTGGTTATTACCCTTTAAGGATGAATGGGGCAGCGTGTGGCAAGATCGCAGAATGGGATTAGCTCAGGAATTAGCAGGAAGAGTTTCTTAGCCCTCCTCCAGAGCTATTTCCTTTTCTTGCAGCCTCTGGAGCTGCATGAAATGGAAGGGGTTATGTCCTTGCCTGCCTGACAGGAAAATCATCCCAGATCAGTGCAGCAAAATGGACTGGGTCCAGTGCTCTTGGAAGCAATAAAACAGGTAAAGTGTATTGAACAAGGAATTTCACATGGGGGGTTGCACAGTTACCCTGAACATTGCCCCAGGACACATTCCCCATCACACACAGGCCTTTTCCTACAGTCTCCTTGGCTCTTCCAAGGAATCAGTGTCAGCGTAGCTTTAGATTTTGCTCTGGTCATGGCTTACCTGTGTGGATGCAGACAGTCTTTCCTTGCCCCTGTCCTAGCATGCGGGAAAGGACAGGTCAGTCTCCCCGAAAGCACTGCAGTGCCACTCAGGCTAGTGCAGCACTCAGCGCCTTAGGGTGCTGCTGCTGCTGCACTCTGCTAGGGAGACCCACCCAGTTCAGGCAGTATCTGTGATCCCATGGGGATGCATTAACTAAGGAAAGGCTCTGCAGTACCTGGGGCTATGCCAGAACGGGTGCTCGGACTCTGGTGCTGATCATTTGTGATAGCATTTCAGTAAAGAAACACTCCTAATGTATCTGTCTGTGGTTCCTGGCCTGACAGTGTGATTGGAGCTCTCTGGCTCACCTCGTCATGCCTCTGGCTAGTTATTCCCACTGATGTCTCCCTAAGACTGGCTTCCTCGTAATGGAAGGTCTCCATTTGACCACTCTTGATGTAAACAAACTATAGTACCTCTCGAAAGGTAGAGTAAGTAACACATGCCAACAAAAACTAGTACATTTGTGCTTGTAAGAAATAATGATGTATCCCTTTTCCAGTGTTTATAAGAGATTCAGCTTCTCCATTCAGAGTCATTGGCCTTAGTTCCCTCGTGGCCTGGGTGTGTTGTCTGAACTGAGCCTGGGAAGGAATCAAGAGCATTTAACCACAAGACGAACACCAGGAGTGAAACAGCCCAGAGAGCAGAAGCAGACTACAGAGCAGTCGAAGTGCAGAGCTCAATTTGAAGCCTAATTTGAACATGGAATGAGGTGCTAGGATCTCAGCTACTGTGTGGAGTCTCTTCTCAGTCTGCTGTTCGCATTCTGTGAACAAAGGATAGTGATATTTATAGACTACCCAGTGAAAAACTGTCTTTGGGCAACTGCTGCGGGCAGTGCAGGGTGAAGGGAAGTGTCTAGTTTTGATGATGAAAATAGAAATCTGTCTTCATGTCTGTGTTCTGGGGTGCTGATCAGATATGTTATGGCATGGTACCGTCATTATAGCTTGAAGAACCAATTTCAGAGCTGGCTTCTGTAATTGCCTGATAGTTTAACCTGTCTCCATTCCCCCATAAGAGGAGGGACGTATTGCCTTCATTCATGTTGCATTGTTCACCAGTAAATGTAAAGCAAATTGTAAGATCAGACCTGCTTGAACTAACATTTGTAGCTATTCATTCACTCACACACAAACTAGCCCCCTGATGCCAGTCCAGCTTTTTTCTTATACCAGAGAGAAAATAAGAACAGTGAGTCAATTAATTTTTCTCTTTTCTTTTTGAAGTGTCGGGGAAGCATTTGGATACCATGGAAATGAGCAACAATATGGTGAAAAACTGGTTTAGGAGGTGTTCAAGAAGTTAAATTTAGTCCTGGAATTAGCTTTGCTGTGTTTCACCAGAGGCTTCTGCTTTTTTCCTTGCTCCCAGTATGATATTTAGGATGGACTTCACCCTTTCCCAGGAGTGCAGGAAAGGCCCTGCCCTGAGTCAGGTGGGACTAAAGGTTGGCTGAGTGCTGGGCCTGATGTACGTTTGTGTTACACGTTGATGGATACCTCTGGTTGCTTTTTTTCCTGCTGGGCATGGGATGGGGTTTAATCCTGGTTAAATTCTGTATCCCAGATCTGTTTGCCTTCTCTTGAAAGGACTTCTCCTTCTCTCTTTTGCAGGTATGGTTCAGAAACTTGACCAGAAGCTGCCTGTAGCCAACGAGTACCTGCTGCTTTCAGGTGGTGTGCGGGAAGGTGTGGTAGACATTGATCTTGATGAGCTGAATGTTTATGCACGAGGCACAGACTATGATATGGACTTCACCCTGCTTGTGCCCGCACTGAAGCTGCATGACCGCAACCAACCAGTCACGCTGGACATGCGCCACTCAGCTTTGTGCCATTCCTGGCTGAGCCTGCGTCTGTTTGATGAAGGAACTATCAGCAAATGGAAGGACTGCTGCACGATCGTGGACCATATCAACGGAGCTACCAATTATTTCTTCTCTCCGACAAAAGTCGCAGACTGGTTCTATGACTCCATTAGCATTGTCCTCTCCGAGATCCAGAAAAAGCCTCAGCGAGGGATGCCAAAGGTGGAGAAGGTAGAAAAGAATGGGACTATCATATCCATCATTCTGGGAGTGGGCAGCAGCCGCATGCTGTACGACATTGTCCCTGTGGTGTCCTTCAAAGGTTGGCCAGCTGTGGCCCAGAGCTGGCTGATGGAGAACCACTTCTGGGATGGGAAGATCACAGAGGAGGAAGTCATAAGTGGGTTTTACTTAGTGCCTGCATGTTCCTACAAGGGGAAGAAGGACAATGAATGGAGGCTGTCATTTGCCAGAAGTGAAGTGCAGCTGAAAAAGTGCATCTCCAGCAGCCTCATGCAAGCCTATCAGGCCTGCAAAGCTATCATCATCAAATTGCTGTCCCGCCCCAAAGCCATTAGTCCCTATCACTTGCGGAGCATGATGCTGTGGGCTTGCGACAGGCTACCAGCCAACTACTTGGCCCAGGAGGATTACGCAGCCCATTTCCTCCTGGGTCTCATTGATGATCTCCAGCACTGCTTGGTCAACAAGATGTGCCCTAACTATTTCATCCCCCAGTGCAACATGCTGGAGCATCTCTCTGAAGAAACCGTCATGCTGCATGCGCGGAAGCTGTCCTCAGTCCGCTCAGACCCTGCCGAACACCTTCGAACTGCCATCGAACACGTCAAAGCAGCCAACCGGCTAACACTAGAGCTCCAACGGCGGGGCAGCACCACCAGCATTCCCTCCCCGCAATCAGATGGAGGGGACACCAACCAGCCTGATGACCGATTAGCCAAAAAGTTGCAACAGCTAGTGACTGAGAACCCCGGGAAGTCCATCTCCGTCTTCATTAACCCAGATGATGTCACAAGGCCCCACTTCAGAATTGATGATAAATTTTTCTGAGCTTTCGTCAATGTTTCTTGGGATTTTTTTCTTTTGTTTTGTTTTTAAAAACTCTTGCAACGTGCAGGTTTTTTTGTTTGGTTTTCCCTGATGACTTAGTCTCTTGTTTTTTACATATCCAGCGTAGATTGGATCTGTTGAGAACAACCTGAATAAATTATAATTCCTGGTTCTGCAGGACAGTGCAGATTTTGAAACAGTATATTACTATTTCATATGCTGCTTTGATTTTTTTCACCCACCCCGCCCCATTGTCTGTGAGTAGTTTCTAAAGGAGAACATGCACCGTAAACACACATGCCACAGTGTAATGTAGATTTTTTTTTTTCAAGCTTCCATAATTTATGTACATTGTTGGGCCTGGGGAAGGGAGTACTCACCTTCCGTTGCTTCAGAAATTCACTTCTTTTTCCATGAGCTTCCATCACCCTAAACAAATGAGGAGAGACTCTGGGTTGGAAAGCACTACTGGTAATTTGATGAGGCCAAATGTACTGGGCTGAAGCCCAGTTCATCTGTTCTTCACACTTCTCACATTAGGGGAGGAAG